CGTGGGGGAGGGGGGGATGAAAGTCGGATCTACATGGATCCTCATGAATTCCAGTCCCAAGAATTGCCTCCATCGGCTAAATGGGGAAAGGGGGATTTTGTGTGTGTACATTTTATATCTGGATACAGATATAAACAACACGTATATATTCTAAAATCGATCTGGGTGCAAAAAGTGCCTCGAGCAATACCCATGCATATGCCGCGCAACCCATAAAATATTAAGCAGATTCTAGCTCTTTAGCTATTTACATATTGAGTCGTTGATTGACAGAACTTTCTTACTCTACGTGGTTTTCTGCTTTAAAAAAAGGCTTCCTCTTATTTCTCCGTTTTACAAGGAGCCAATCAGCTGTTCCAGTAGATGATGAGAGAAACCGGAGGAGCCTATCCAAAGTGGGAGGCGGGGCTTTTGGAATCTTGTGTGTCAAGTCCCCAGGCTATAAGCAAAGCGCGGGAAGGGGGTTCGGTGGAAGTGAATGAAATATTAGGTAGGTATGTTGTAGTGTGAAAGTTATCAGCTGTTCCAGTAGATGATGAGAGAACCGGAGGAGCCTATCCAAAGCGGGAGGCGGGGCTATTGGAATCTTGTGTGTCAAGTCCCTAGGCTATAAGCAAAGCGCGGGAAGGGGATTCGGTGGAAGTGAATGAAATATTAGGTAGGTATGTTGTAACGTGAAAGTTTCCAGCAAGCTTGCAGAAGGACTAATAATAAGCCTTGTAGGAATTACTGTATTATTGATCTAGAGTACTAGCAATTCCTCCCTGCTTCCTTTGCCTCTTAAACCCTGATGCTCAATATTTAATATTTTGGAACACTTGTCATAGCAATCAGGCTTTAGCATGCATTGGTGGACAGTTTACAACTTTTTCAGATGCTGTCTTTTAATAGGTGATACAGTACAGATGATTAAAATGTATATCTAAAAAAATTAAGGCATCAGTACAAGAAAAATAAGTTTGCAAACTGTATCATATAGGCACACAAATAAGGCAAAGAGTCATAACTGGCTATAGTTCTTTGTTGAGTGCACACTTGGCAGCAAATCAGACTATGCCTCTATTAGGTATGTGAAATGGTTTTTTGTTGCTGCTGCTGAAGCTACTAAAATGAAGCAAAATGTCCTGCCTGCAGACTGAACAACTGTTTTATGCCATAGAACAGGAAACACAGAAGGTAAGGTTTATTAAAAAAAAATTAATCCTACCAAATGTATAAAAAGTTACGCAGTTTCTGGATAACTTTTTATAAATTTGGCAGGATTAACTTTTTAAATTTTATCTATCTGTCTATCAAAATATGAAGCCCATTAGTGAATAAAACATTTTTTTCTGAATTTAGTATCAAACCCCCATAATAGCATCATCAGTCAAAACAGGCAGCTCAGCCCTAAACCCCAGACGCTGCTGAGGGGCTATTCCCACATTACACCAGCATGTGGCTTAGCCATTGCCATCCAGAAAAATGACAGCCTGGTTTTAGGACAGTGTTGTCAGTCACCTCAGTAAAAATAATTTACATTGTCTCCAAAATATGTGCAGGGTAAAGCTATGGCAGGACCCAGAAGCCATTCTATTACCTTGTGAAGGTTGACTCTGCAAAGAACGACAGGACACAAACAGCTCTGCAGAAATCTGTCTCCTCCTACCTGGAGAAGCAGGCTTTATTAGATTCCCTTCACTTCTTCCCCCTCCCCAATACATTGAAAGTTACATAGTCACCCCACTATGACCTACTATATTCAGGAATGTGTTGTGAAGACAGCCTCAGTCTTATCTCTCCCCAACTCTTCTGCCAAGTTACTTCTCAGGTTGAAGTCAGCAGATGCTTACCAGCTCCTTGCACACAGTTGCCAATCTCCCGGCAGGAGTAGTGAAATCCGGGCTTGCCACGCAGATATTCACCGTTCCCACAACCTTGGCACCAATTAAGCATTTTATAAAACCAAACAAGCTTTCCCGTCACATGGGATTCTTCCTCAGGTTGGATGTGGGATGGAGGAACCTGTTCACGTAAACGGGGGAAACAGGAAGGAATCTTGCGTACACAGTGCTGGGATGCTCCCGTGTTCTCTCTGGCAGAGGACTGGAGAACAGAACACTCTGTGTCCCTCAGGAATAGTCGGCAGCCCCCTCTAAGATGAGTTACTCTGAGCTAGCTATAAGAGGTTTATAGATAGACTGCAGGTCCCCCCCCCCCGAGAGGGGGGGCACCCCCGGCCCCCCCCCCCCCGAGAGGGAGAGCTGCAGTACTCGTCCTAGAGGATAAAGTATTCAAGCCACAGACCTTCTAGACATGTCACTGTCGTCACCGCTTCAGCCTTGTGTGATTTACGACCGCTCTAGTGCCTGAGAGGACGGCAGCAGGGAACGTGTGTGATTCCAGGGCGGCAGGCGGAGAGGTCTTCGACTCTAAGCGAGACACAGTAGTCTCCCCTCTCCCGCCTTGCCTGCAAAGGGAATTGCCTCCCCTTGGCCCGAAGTGACAAGAAGCTTCGTGGGCTACTCCGGAGCCTCTTGTCGTGGTAAAGGGGAAGCCACCAGATTCTCTCCCTGAGATCCACAGCCATGCACCACCCCGGTCTTAAGTATGCTCTTCCAAGGTGGGTGGAAGGAGTTAAATAGGGATTAAAAAGGAAAAAGGACAGGCACTGCCTGGTGCTGCTTGCGGGGGGGGGGGGGATGAAAGTCGGATCTACATGGATCCTCATGAATTCCAGTCCCAAGAATTGCCTCCATCGGCTAAATGGGGAAAGGGGGATTTTGTGTGTGTACATTTTATATCTGGATACAGATATAAACAACACGTATATATTCTAAAATCGATCTGGGTGCAAAAAGTGCCTCGAGCAATACCCATGCATATGCCGCGCAACCCATAAAATATTAAGCAGATTCTAGCTCTTTAGCTATTTACATATTGAGTCGTTGATTGACAGAACTTTCTTACTCTACGTGGTTTTCTGCTTTAAAAAAAGGCTTCCTCTTATTTCTCCGTTTTACAAGGAGCCAATCAGCTGTTACAGTAGATGAGAGAACCGGAGGAGCCTATCCAAAGCGGGAGGCGGGGCTATTGGAATCTTGTGTGTCAAGTCCCTAGGCTATAAGCAAAGCGCGGGAAGGGGATTCGGTGGAAGTGAATGAAATATTAGGTAGGTATGTTGTAACGTGAAAGTTTCCAGCAAGCTTGCAGAAGGACTAATAATAAGCCTTGTAGGAATTACTGTATTATTGATCTAGAGTACTAGCAATTCCTCCCTGCTTCCTTTGCCTCTTAAACCCTGATGCTCAATATTTAATATTTTGGAACACTTGTCATAGCAATCAGGCTTTAGCATGCATTGGTGGACAGTTTACAACTTTTTCAGATGCTGTCTTTTAATAGGTGATACAGTACAGATGATTAAAATGTATATCTAAAAAAATTAAGGCATCAGTACAAGAAAAATAAGTTTGCAAACTGTATCATATAGGCACACAAATAAGGCAAAGAGTCATAACTGGCTATAGTTCTTTGTTGAGTGCACACTTGGCAGCAAATCAGACTATGCCTCTATTAG